CAAATTGAGACACATGTTGATTTGATAAATATAGATTCTTGGATTGTAATTTTTACAATGAAACATAATTTGCATTGATTAGGAGATTTTTAGATTTGAATCTCTTGATTTCATAGGGTTGTTTTTTTTTTTTTTTTTTTTTTTTTTTTGGCACTAGTCCATCTCTGAGAAATTTGATTGAAAATCATTAAATTATTGACTAAGTTTTATTGATCACAAAAGTTATAAAATTTATTGTCTGAAAAAAAAAAAGGAGCATAAAAAAAAAATGAATGAAAAAAATATATTCAGCATGAAAAAAGAAAAAAAAAAAAAGAAAAAAAAAAAGAAAGAAAGAAAAATTGAAAATTTGTTGAATTCTTTGTTGAGGAAAATGCTACCTATTGAGTTTATGTTGAAAGCTCTCATTAGACTTTGAAGATGAACTAATTGAGTAAAAAGAAAGGTGTAGACAAGTTGAACTGGGGAATTGTTGTCTGCTCTTTAGAGTGAAAGCCACCTTATTTCGAAAAATTGCTCAAAAATAATCTTATCTTGATATTTTTTAATCCATATGATTTAGACAATGATTTGTTAAAAATTGATGAGGTTGGATTTCACACACATACATGACTTGCTAGATTAATTTTTAAATTTTTTCAGCAAAATTTGCAAGTTGAATTTCATGTTGTGATTGCTTTTTGAGATTTGAAATTGATTTAAGATTTTGTGGAGTCAAAAATTTATGTTCATAAATATCTCATAAAATTCTCTGAAAATTTGGATCATGTGTGGATTTGAAAGATTTTGGTTAAATGCTCAATGTTTTTTTTTTTTTTTTTTTTTTTTTTTTTAAAAAAAATTGGTTGAAAAATTCAAAAAGATTTTGATTTTTAGGTTTTAGTTTTTCTTTTGGTTGCTTTGATCATTGAATATTTGAAAAATCTAGGAAGAAATTTTTGAAAATTCAAGTCTGTGAAGTTAATACTGTCCAGTTGCTACCGGTTCTAGGTTCTCTTTACCGATTCATGAATGCTAAGGTTGCAAAATAACCTCACTGCCTATTGGCTACCGGTTCTAACTTCCTCTACCGGTTCAGGAATGCAAGACATTGAACAATTCCACTCTGGCCATTTGTCATCAGTACCACATATTGGCTACCAGCTCAGAACTATGTTGCAAAGCATGCATGTGACTGCCACTTGGGAACCGGTTCCCAACTTGGCTACCTGTTCTTTGCAGCGAGATTTGGCACTTAAAGGCTTCATCGTGCACGCTGTTGGGCATTGTTACATCACTCATTTTCTCTCATAAATTGCATACTCTTTCTCTATATTGCTCACATCACATATATACTCACATCATCTATATTACTTGATCATCATTCCATCTTTACAATTATGTTCCATTGCATAATTGGAGTGTGAAATCATTGAGTTGAAGATTAGAGTTGATATTTGAATTGAAGTTTTGGGTGTTTACAAAACTTAGAGGATTTGGTTAAGTTTGCTTGAAGATCTTCGAGTTTATGATTGAAGACTCAGGGTTTCACATTGTGGACTTGATTGCATTGATTTCTTGTTGATTTTTGGGGTTTTTGAAGATCCAAACCAAGCTTTCTCAAGAAAATAGTTCGAGGTGCACGCCAAGTGTTCAATAAAATTAAGAGAAGTTTGAAGCTTTAAACCAAAATTTTACGAACTTCTAAAGAGGTCAAGCGTAATGGAGTTGCAGTTATAAGGGCTCCCAAGAAAGCAAGAACTGGCATCTCTATCTGTGAACCTCAAGAAGGTTTAAATGCTCCTAGGGACACTCCATCATCTCCTATGGACTCGGATTCTTCTATCATTGAGGTACCAGCTGGGTTTCCTTCAGTTTCTGCTACCGGGAAGATAGAGTTCACCCGTGATCACTTCTACAATGAGAATGCTTGGAAGGTGTACAAAAAAATTTACGAAGGCGGGCCAATTAAATCTAAAAGGAATGTAAATTTGAAGAAGCTCTGAAATAGTACGGGTCACAAGATTATGGAGAACATTGAGAAGAATAACAGGCTTTTCTTAACTACCATGGAGCACAGCTACTCTCCTGACATGGCACACTGTCCAATATTCGTTGAGTTCATGCTGATGGATATTTTGAGGTTTCTATTTTTGGGACTCATTATCGTGTGAATGAAGATGTTATTTGTGATATCTTGGGCGTTCCAAAGAGAGTGAGTAGTACGGGCAATATCCTACCCTCACTGAGTAAGGCCTAAATGGCAAGAGATCTATGATGCCTTATGTATTTCGGGTTCTTCGCGATTTACTGACCACATCCCTTCTTGCTATCTCACTAATGAGGCAGCATTTCTGAATTTGTTTGCTATGGCCAATCTTAGCTATTTTGGGAAGAAGGACGTGATTGTTTTGGATCGGGCTCAGGTATTATATCTTCTTGCTATTGGAGCAAAAATTCACATTGCCCTTTCTATTGTGAATTTGATGGTTGCTCATTACAAGAACAATACAAAAAAGAAGTCTTCTCTGTTTCCTATGATTATCATGGAACTCTACAGGAAGTTTTAGATTATGCTTCCTCCTAGAGCTCATCATCACGAGATTATGTCTGAGTGAGATCTCTGGGCCTTGAACAAGTCCAAGACTACAAAGAAGAATGCAATGAAAGTTATCAGGGTTCAGACACTGCTTCGACTTAGATTCTAGAGATTACGCAAATCTTTCCCTCCAAAGGGAATTTCATGAAAGAGGATGGGAATCTGTTGTATTCTCTACTGCTTCAGAATCAAAAGGCCATGCTTGATGCAATATGTGATCTCTAGGATGAGGTGAGATTCTTTAGAGGATAGCAGGTAGGTAGTTCTACTGAGGACGTCTATAAACCTACACCTCTAGATCCGTCTTTAATTCCTGAGGATGATGGTGATGATGATGATGAGGATGGTAATGGTAGTGATGGTGGTGATTTAGATGATATTCCTACTACTCTTGTTCCTTTTGAGGGTGATGTTGATGCTTGATTTATTCTGATCATACATTCATGCATCATATTTTGTTCAGTTTACATTGTCATTATTTTTGGATATTATTCTTTTGGATTAATGACATGTTATTAACTGATTAGATTGTTTCTCTTCTATTATATTCTTCGCTATGATATTTGCTTTGTCAATTTGTTCTGAAAATGGGGAGGACAATGGTTAATTAAAGGGGAGAAAAATAAAAAATTGGATAATTTATTTAGGGAAAGTTTTTATAAATTATTTTATTAAACTTTCACTGGTAGTTTTGCTTGATCCATGTGCAGGAAATCAGGTAAAATTTTGTTCAGGAGAAGAAGAGAACAGAGAAAAAAAAATTCCTTGTCCTTACAAATTGTAATCTATTATTTTTTTATCTTTCAATTTAAAAAGATCTCCTTTATTATAATTTTTTTTCTTTTTATTTTTAAGGAATTATTTTTAAGGAACCTTCTAAAATTTTTAGACATGAGAGCTATTTCATCATCAAAACTTAACACATACAAAATCCAATTCACCCTTATTCATAGGATTTTCCATCATAAATTTTTAAAAAACAAAAATAATTTTATTTTTTCAAAAACAAAAATAAATTTATTTTTTCACAAGTTATATTTGTTTTTAGGGTTTTGTCACGAAATTGCCAAAGAGAGATTGCGAGATATAATTTTTGTAAATTTCGATATCAAAACAAGTCTAATTGAGTTATAATTATCAAGTTACCATATCAAGATCGAGATCGACTACGGAATTGGAAGGTTGTTCAAGTTTGATAAACTTTGATTTACAAAGAAGGTAAGAACAACACTTTAGTAAGTTGTTTCCTACTTAGGACACTATATATAACTATATGGTATATTCTTCAAATTACCAAAACAAAATTCTTTCCAAGTTTTAAACCTTATTCACCTTATTCAGGATTCTGTCAAGTGGAACTGGTACCAAACTTGGGAATCGGTTCAAAACCATAATTTCGAAGAATACATTCTATCCTTTGGGAACCGGTTCCAAAGATGGCTACCGGTACCAACTACTGATACAATTTAGGATTTCAGTTTCCTGTTATGTCTAAAACTTCCTAGTTGGTTTAGAATTCTTCCAAAAGTCCTATGCACGAAAATTCCTCTTTCATATGCATATCTACGCCTTTGAAAATTCTATATAAACCTTAATTTACATTTAGGTTAGTACGGCTTTTGCACTACAACTTCATAATTCTTAAAAGCCTTAGAGAGATATTTTTGCAGAAAATCAAAGTTGATTTTTCTGTCATTCTTTTTAGAATATATACATAAACACAAGAGTGAGTTTAGAATGTTGTTCAAATCCTGATCGTGATCAAAGTCTTGCATCTCAACGATCAGAAAAGCAGATCTACTTTTTCTACATTGAATATAGATCTTGAAGAACAGAGGTGAAGCGATCACACTTTGAAAGGGTCAAAGCATTCGAGGAGTGTTGTTTGATCTACCAGCAATCCTTCTACAGAGATCAAGAGTAAGCATGAGGTCAAGAGCTGTTAGACGGGACATCACAAAGTCAGAGGATTGTCAGCGATTGGTGTTTGATAGAAAGCCTGAGTTAAAGTCCAATGTACTTTATTTCAAACATAGTGGATTGGTTTACTTTGGATTGCACTGTCCACGAGATTTTTCTCACGTAAACAGTTAGTCTATTTTACCAATTGGGATTTCCTCGTTAAAAATTCTGGTGTCATATCTAAATCTATTATTTTACTTTATTTTATCTTGCATGAGATTAATTAATTAATTACTAAAATAAGTAAAGGTAGAAAGACACACATCTATTTTTTTAAATACAAAACTTTCTACACAAGTAATCTTCCACGGTACAACTCACACTATGCATCAATATGATGCCAGAAATAGATTGATTTTATATCACCAACAAGACCATATATCGTAAAGCATATAATAAACTTTATAGAGAAAGAATGAATAATACAAAGAAGAACCCACTCAAAAGGTTGAAAGCATACCTCGTCTGTACCAAAATATTGAACTATGTTCTCATGTTCAAATTGACTTAAGAGAGAAATCTCCTGAACCAATTAACAAGGGATGAAAAACATATCAGGCAAACCTATAATGAATACAATTGCTTTATATACGTAATAGATTCTTCTCACTTGTTCAAGTTGACAAATGCTTTGCTTGCTCCGACTTCCTTGATCAAGCAAAGAAACCTCCTTTGCAGCAAAAAAGAATCCATCCCTGCGGAGAAAAAATTAAAATAAAAAAAAGAATAATATAAGAGGCAGTGAGGTAAAAATATAACATAAAGACGACGTAAGAAATAAGGGGCGTGCAATGGACAAATAAAACACGAGTAGAGAATAGGAGGGGATATCCTCCTTGTTGGGGACGGTAGAAGTGAACAAGAAGCACAATCAAACAGACAAAACATAAAATACCTAACTCTGGGCTAGTTCCACGGATAAGGAGATAACCATTATATACAATAGAAGAGAATACCAAAGATCGGACGTGGACACAAACTCTAACCCTAGAATACTTATCTTTTGTACTCCTGCTCACGGGTATGTTGACACATACCCAAGACTTACACTGTACGACTCCATGAGACCTCTCTCCATCAGTGCTCTAAACTCTCTCTACCCATAAACCTAAATCTCCACGGGCTATATGCATCTTTCTCAACTCATACCTCTCACCAATCAGTTTATAGGAGTCCAAAATCCAATTCCTTGTTGCAATTAGGCCTAGACTTGCCTAACAGTTAAGGGGCCAAGAATTGCAAATTACCATAGAAAATACGACTCTAAAATGTAAACCTAAATATTTATAGAATTTGAGACACAAAAGAAGGAGATAGAGATGAAACAATAAAGAGACAGAAAAAAAAAAAAATCAAAAGTAACTTTGCTTGTTGCAAATAATTCTGCCCCTAAGCAGATTCAAGAGTCCATTGGAAAAATCAACAACAGGAATATATATATATATATATATATATATCCCTAATTCCCAGCAAAGATAATGGAGAGGCCAAAATTTGGATGCCAATCGATAACCTATTTACAAACCTCATGATTTACAGGGTTCATCAATGTGTTCCAATCCTTTGAAGATAAGGTTACTTGAACCAAAGAACAAAATTTTTAATTGAATCCCTAAATTACAAAGGCAGCAAAGTACTAAGGAATTGTTGGAATATGTTAGTATAATGTTAGTTATATCTTAAATGTCATAAGAAGTACAGAGTATATATTTTCCAACAGAAAGACTTACTCAGTGAAACCTTGGTACACTGTTCCGAATGATCCACTTCCCAGAAAGTCACCCTTCTGCCAAGACTTTATATTGCGCCTAAAAAAGGAATGTATATATATATATAATCACCATTGTCGTTTTGATTGGAAAACAAGATCATCATTATGTCTTTAATTGGAGGTTGAAATTTAAAGACACCACTATTTGAACCAAACTCTAGAAACCTACACAGTTCTTGAACGTGATGATGATGCATTCCAATTGCGTACTCTGAGATGCTCGAGCGAGGATGCCACTTTTACAACAACCATCTCAATATACTCCGACTCCGGCCTGCCAAATTAAAAAAAATAAAAATAAAATTCAAAAAATGAAAGTAAGCAATTTTTACATACAGAGAGATGAAAGATCAAATAAGTGAGTGATAAAACTGGTAATGTTTTAGATTTCTTTTCCAAAGAAACGAGAGAGTTAAAGTACCGGTCTCCGGCGATATGAAAACCGGCAATATTGCTAGTCTCACGTAAAGCCGACCTCCAATTCTTCACCGATTCCAAGTCAAACAGCGTTTCGTGTTGGGCAAATGCTTTTGCATAACAACCCTTCTGTTTCCGAACTTCAAAGGGTTCGACGTCATAAAAGATGGGAATAACAATCTGATTGAGTGTTCTCCTGCAATCCATGATCTTCACAAGCTCCATAAGGCACCATTTTGAGGATGCGTAGTTTTTCGAGAATACGACAATCGAAACCCTTGATTCGACGATTGATTTCAGCAAATCTGTACCAATTTCATTTCCTCTTATGAGTTCATAGTCATCTCTGAATGTGTAAATAGCACGACGATTCAAAGCGGCCAAGAGGTGGCTCACAAATGTTTTGCGAGTATCAGCACCCCTGTAGGACAAGAACACATCATAAACATAGGAAGCTGACATTTTCAGAGCTCAAACAGATGAAGTGAAAGGATTTGTGCGTGAGAAGAGCAGGTGAGGCATAACCTCGACTTATATTAGTATATGAGAAGAAGACATGGTCAGTCGACTCAGTCCTCGTTGACGCAGTCCTCTCTTTGGGGGAGCGAATCCTCTCCATTGCGTTACCCGTCAATTCCCTCCGGTTCGGTTAAACTAACCCCGGTTAAGCTGTATAATGTACTGTATATACCAAAGTTAACGTACTGTGTAGTGTGGACATCACTTACCTGATACTACCAATACAACTTTACTTAATTCGACTATACTTGTACAAAGTAGTCTTAAATTTCAAAGGGTAAATTACCCTCCAGGTTTGTCCTATTAATCTTTCTGAATAATGACAACTTTTCAGATTTGATACACATAGTAAATTGACATTATTAAACTTTGACTTATGAATTAACCTATTTAAAATATAAAATTACATTTTTAACTTTCTATTCAATCTCAAACATATTAGTAAGCATTTTTTACACCTGTTTGAACTAAAATTTCCTTCTTTTTTTTTTACATGTGTAATTTTTATTTGAATATTTTATTTTATTGTATTTACAATTTATTATTAAAAAAAAATCATTAAACAAGTCGTGTACCCCTTTCATAAAGGGACTGTGCTATATTGGACTCATATAACAAAATACCTTATTTTGCCACGATATGAATATTACCTGTTAACTCAAGTCACTCCTAAATGGATTGTTTATGGTCAATGCTTTGGGTTTTGTGTCTTGTGCTTTGTGTTTTTCAGATTTGTCTTAGCTTTGTGCTTTGTTCTCCCACGTCTGTTTGGGATTGTTCTTATGAGTTATGGCCAAAGGCCTTTACATGTAATTCCTTATTTTATATATATATATTTGCTTTACTTTTCGAAAAAGAAAAAAAAAAAAACTATGACTGACAACCAAATTGCTTTGATCTAAAAAAAAAAACATATTAAAATAAGAGCCTCAGTTAGATTCCAGATAAAACAAATCTCAATAAAAAGTTAATACATACATGTGTAAAAATTAGACACTGGGAAGTGATAAGGTGGAGCTGGTAAGCTGCTTAAGGGTAGATTCGTTATTTTAAATGAAAAATAAATATTTTATTGGAGCGCAAACACGACATTTTAGCCAATTTTAGGCTGATCTTATATTTGAGCAGGGATGTAATTGTTCAAAAAATGACTAAATTATAGTAAATAACTGTTCTTAAGACAAATTTCAAGAGATGTTACCGTAATTAATCCAATTTTAAGTTGATCTTATATTTAATTAGGAGTGTCATTGTTCAAAAAATAATTTATTTGTATATGAGTGAACCTCAGGATGTGTCACCGTAATTAACCCAGTTTCAAAATCAGAGCCTCGGTAATTTTTGGCGCCACCCCCTCCAATTTCTTAAGTTCCCTAAACCTGCAAGTTGGTGTTAAGAAGGATTCTATTCTTTTGATTTAATTACTGTGGCTGATTTTATATTACTCCATCTCTGATTTTTCATATTTAAGCTCTGATTTAGGGTTTTAATGGACAGATTAGAGCCCATTTTTTTAAAATAGAGAAATGTTAAAAAATAAAATTTCTTTCAAAGCCAATTTTGCATGAGTTTGTTCAAATGAAGGAGAAATTTTGGTGAGAGTAATTAGATCAAAACACAAACCTCCGTCTAGCAATGGCGTTTATGAAACTAGGAGGGAAGACCAAAGCTACGTTGTGGCTCTCATTTTGAAAATTAGAAAATTTGTACAAGTATAAAAGAGCTTACTCCGCATTAAGTAAAATTTTATTGGTATAAAAATTGTAAAATTGTATCCAAATACGATAAAAAAATAAACACACGACACAAATTACACAAATATTTATGCGTGAAAAATCTACAAATATCTTCACTATGTATAAAATGAAAAATTGCAAGTTTCAGTCTCTCATTCTCCTTCTGTACAATTTTTAATGTCTTTCGATAAGCACCTCAAGAGTACTAATTACAATTCATGAACCACAAGTAAATACGCTACCTGACGACCATAGGTCCATAACATCACAATATACATATTAACTGATGGTACAGTAATTCTTTTTATTTATTTTTATTTTCTATCCTAGTAAGTGTGGGACCACTAATACTCGGTCTCTTTGCGAGGTAAAGATGATTGTCCACTTCACTTCTTGGCCCAATATCACCGCAAATAATTTTCCTACCATTCATTGAGGTATGCATCTCGGATCAACAATGATATGATGAGAAAAACAAATCTTTTCTGCAAATGCTAAACTGAAAGTCAAGAAAGGTCGTTTATCAATAGCTAGGCCATGTACTGTACCATCAATAACAAAACGTATTAGTGGTTTAAGCATTTCAATTAAAGCTGGAAACTATTATAATTTGTCCAAACCCTTTCAGTTTTAGCTTTATAATGAACATTCCTGAGAGGGTTCTGAATGTCAGCTGTTCTTTTGCATGCTAAATCTACTCTCAACTATATATATATATATATATATATATATATATATATATATCTCGTACCAATCATTTCATGGCATTTTGAAACAAGATACAAAGGTGGATCATAGAGAGCTATGTAGATATCTTTATAGCCTGTATTTGTGAAAGTCTCTTCCCGCTACCCCGACAACTCCAGCCACCAGTACAGGCTTGATGTGGACGGTGAAAAATGATGTTTAAAATAAACTCGCAAGCGCACGAATCTATTATAGTATAGAAAATATAAGAGTGAGGTCAATCTCAAATAAAATATTTTAACAAAGGTAAATTCTTCTTCGCTTCAAGGAGTAAATCTTAAGAATAATATGCATCCAAAACATGAAAGACATAGGATCACAGAAATAATTCTAAGCATCATATGTATCCAATTTTAATGGAGAACATAATATCAAATGATTTTACTTTCAAAATTTTTAATATAAAATGATTTTACTTTCAAAATTTTTAAAACCAAGCATTGATCAATTGAACATAGAGATTATCTAACTACCAAAAATACATGATATTAATGGTGAAAGCAATGAAATTCAATTATCATTTGAAGTAATAATTATAGACATTATTAGTTTCTCTCAAACGCGCTTCTAAACCATCAGATTTTTCAAAAGTCCGTTTTAGAAATTTCACTATTACAACTGTAGTTTTAGTCAATTAGTCCCAACAGATTAGAAGGCATAATCTGTGAGAAGAAGGATATCCCAATGATTTATTTTCTCGACTATCTGCACTTTCACGTCCATTGTCATAGAGAAAACAACCACCCCAGGAGAAAGAAAAATGTTCAGGAGCACCTAAAGCATCAGAAGTTCCCAAGGAAATTATAGAAGTTCGTTGATTGAAATGTTTGATGTCTTGTGCAAATGGCTAGTAAAGACACTTGGGCTATCTGACACCTCGAGGACTTTCTTGTGTTTCAAGATGGAGGTATTAAAACCTTTCTTGGAGTGAGCTATTATGGTATACTTTGATGGTACTTTTACTATGAAGTTGTTCTATGAACAGCATTTGCATCATCTACACCAAAATTTTTGAGATCCTTTTGAAGGAGAAGTTCTATATTGAATACTATTCTAGGGCTATTTTGTTTCAGTGGATGGCTTGCTTACTACCAGATCTTGGGAAAGTAAGGGCCATGGCCCATGACAGAATGGTCTACATCTCAATCTATGGGAGTTAAATATAGTTTTCACGGCTTAACCTCATTTTTTTTGGTCACTTATAGGGTTGCAACTTGGACGGGTTAACTCAGCCCAACCCAACCCCAACTCAAAAATTTTAAAATTTGGATTTAAAATTCACAAATCGGGCTCATGTTCGGGTTGGGTTTTGTTAAAACCCATACATGTTCGGGTTGGGCTCGGGCTCAACCCGAACCCAACCCAAAACCCAAAATAAAAATAAATTTTTTATTTTTTTTTCTCGTTTCCCTCTCCTCTCTCTTTTTTCTCGTTTCCCTCTCCTCTCTCTTTTTTCTCTTTCTCTATCTAACACCGTCCCTCTGTGGCCGCCGCCGTCGTCCCTCCGTTGCCGCCGTCGTCCCGCCACTGCCACCTTCCCCTCTACCTCCGTGTCCGTCCCTCGCCCTCAGCTGCTGATCCACAGCCGCCGCCGTCCCTCCACCTCTGCCGCAGTTGCCGCCGTCACTTCCAAAAATTAAAAGAAAACCCATACATACAAGTTAGCAGTTGCAGAGAGAGAGGGGGGCAAGCTTGAGAGTTGAGAGACAGCGGCAGAAGCTTGCTTTGAACTTTTGATTCTTGCATACAGATAGATAAATTGAAATATATGGGCTTTGAACTTCTGATTCTTGTAGATTTTGTAGTTTAGAGTTGGAGAGAGAGAGAGAGAGTTGAAAATGATACCAGAGATGGAGGCGACTAGGAGGCGACTAGGATTTGTTCTAAAAATATTTTGTTTTTTAATAATAATATAATCAAATATATATATATAAATTTCCAAAAAAAAGGGAAATTTTTTTAAATAAATAAAAATAAATAAATAAACTCAATCCATCAACTTGACCCAACTCGCCTGAAAATATTCGGGCCAAATTCTGACCATAACTTATGTTGGGTACAATTCGGGCTGGCCCAACCCAACCCGATTCGGGTTGGGACTGGCCTGGATTGGGCCAGCCCAACTTACAGCCCTAGTCACTTATTTGGAACTTTGGTTCAATACAAAGTGTTTAAACGAAGATACTTTTATTTGAGAGCAATCCAACAAATTAATTATGCTGATAAAAGCGGCATTTGTTGCACTAGCTTCCAGACTTTTAGAAGGTAATTGTTGTGGGTTGTGATGCATTTTATGTGGGAATTGCTCCTATTCTTGGTCAAGAAGGGAAGCCAATAGATTTTTTCAGTGAGAATATTTCATTCGCAAAAATGAGTTATTCAGAATTTGAGCTTGAATTTTATACTCTAGTGTGGGGATTTCAGCATTGGGAACATTATTTACCAAATTTAAAGTTTTGGTGAACTCTT